TGTTTAGCAGCCGAATTATTGGCGCTTCTCTTACCATGTGACACGTACAATTGTCAATGCTATTTTTTCTAAATCGGGACATCATTATAAATCTTTCGAATTTGTTTAGATACATTATTTTCATTAAATAACGGATTTTTTGAGATTGTTCGAAACTAACACGTTGTGACATGTACTTATTGCAGCCGGAGTATCGGCACTTTTCTTATCATGCTATGACACATACAGTCGTCAATGCAATTTTTTTTAAGTCGAGACATCATTATAAATCTGCCGAATCGCAATTTGTTTAGGTACATTATTTTCATTAAATAACGGATTTTTCGAGATTGTTCGAAATTATCTCGTTGCAACATGTACATTTGTTTATAGCAGCCGGATTATTGGCGCTTCTCTTACTATGCTACGACACGTACAATCGTCAATGATATTTTTTCTATATCGAGACATCATTATAAATCTTCCAAATAGCAATTTGTTTAGGTACATAGCAGCCAGAATATCGGCGCTTTTTTCCCTTTTTTTCCTACGTCAATTTCTACAAAAAATATCTTTTCTAGCAGCTCTTCCTAGACAAAAATAGATCCCCTCCCCTCTTCCCCCTCAAAAGTACATTTCAAAGGATCATCGACAAAGCATTCCCCCTTCCCCGTGCCTACCAGGTACCCCCTCTCCTTTACCCCCGCGTCCTCAAGTTACCCTGCACACCCGCACCCCGCTCGGAGCTCCTGGGTTAGAACCGGCCTAGTATCACTACTCCTATTGATGGACAAACGTGATATTCTCAATCTATCCGCCGAACAATTGCGACTTATTCCGAAGATCATTCTCGTGCGCGATTTCGACAGATACGTGGCGCTACTGTGGAACAGACTACCCGATCATCTGAGAGCAGATCCCGAGGTGCAACGTTGTCGCGTGTGTCTGGAGCATTACAATCGTCCGGCAACGAACGCACATAGACGATTCAGTACCTTTTATCAAGAACTGTAGCGAATGCTCAGTGGCGCGGGATTACTCGATACGGCGATAAACGCGCTTCCCTTCGAACTACATATTCCCGGGTATCAATTTTGCGGACCCGGCACCCATCTCGCGAAGCGATTGGTGCGCGGCGATCGAGGCATCAACTCGTTGGACGCGGCGTGCCGCGAGTACGACATCGCCTATTCGCAAAACAAGGAACTCGCCGTCTGTAGACATCGACTATGACGAGAGTGACGAGGGCGAGAGGGGCACGCGGCCTCTGATCATTCGCGCCAACAAGAATACCATGAGAAGCGAGATCAGGTGTGAGCATTGAATCAACTTCGCGAAACCGAACATCGGTTCGCTCCTGGGATTCTTGTCGTCGCACGTGTTACGACTAAAACAAATGGCACACGTCCGATGGACTCATGAATATCATGAATGTGAACATCATTCGGGTGGAGTATAACATCATCGCGGGTGCATACAATAACAACGAACCGGTTCACACGATACACGAGTTTTCTCCGAACGTTCCTCCGGAATATAAACTGTCAAACGCTCCGACGTCGGTCATTTACTTCCCGATCATCGCGCGAAACGTCACTGATATCACGCTTCGAATCGTGGATCAGGACGGACGATCGACTTTTGCGGAGAGGAGATAACGGTGCGACTTCACGTGCGACGACGAAAGCAGTAGAGAGATGCGCGAGAGTGAAAGATGCTCATTCTGAATGAGTCATACGCGAAAGGAGACGCAAACGCTATATCCGCGATCCTACCGCGGAACGACGCGACGGAAGGTGTGCGAGGGAAAGGCGAACGAGTTGAACGTCGCAAACGTCGCGTTCTTAAGATCATTAAGTTTCGTGAAGAATCGACATAGCGAACGACATTTTAAGTATCGGAGGTGCTCCGATCTTTGACGATCGTATCGTGAGAATAGAGACTCACACTTACAATCCGTACGCTAACACCACGTTCGGATACAGACGAGATACGAATATCTATACAGTAGCAGGATCTGTACACGTTGCCGTGCGAAAGTTTTCTGTACATCGAGGGAAAGTTCGCGACGAGAGAGAGCGCAAAGGAAAGTACGACGAAGGAAGGTACGAAAGCGAAGCTAGTCAACAATTGTGTCGCGTTTATGTTCGACGAGATTTGATACGAACTCAATTACGTCGAGATCGATAAGAGCAGAAACGTGGATTGGGATAACGACCTTGATGAAAAACTACGTATCGTTAAGCTACGAGAGAGATAGAGTTTTACAGAACTCCGAATGAGAAATCCCGCCTATAGCATTAGACGATTTCACTTTTGCGTGCCTCTTAACTCCTGCGAGGATTACAAGCGCATAGTGATAAACGCGCGGCACGAACTTTGATACGCGCACGCAATGATAACAATTGCGTTGTAACGCATTTGGCTCAGAGACCAAAGATCCGCTGTTGAGGGTATAGTGAATGCCGCACATGATACTGAACGACGTCAACAAATTGTCGCTTCTGCGAACATTGGAGAGCGAACGATATCTGAGCATAGGCTTTCGTTCGTGGGATCTGTACGAATTTCTTCTACTGCAAAGTACGATCAAGCATTCGTAGGCGGTAAAAGGCGGTGACGCAATTGGAGAAATCACGATACGTGATCTTCGCGCTACAGATCGGAAGAAAAACATACCATCGGAAGACGTTTCTAAATTCGACGATTGCAAGCTAACTAATGTAAAACTCTATTTGAATTCCGAGTTTTATCCCTACGACGATATGAACCTAGATTTCGAGCATAATAAGTTCGCCATGCTGTATGTATTTGAAATTTCGAAAGGCGTATTACGGGTGCGAGACTTGCGAATCGTTCATGACTATCACCAGATTTCTGCAATACGGTCCGCTCGTGGTCATCGATTGCTCCCGCCAAAACGAATCGATCAAGAGCGCCACCGTCAACGTTCGCGTAGAATTCGAATGCAAGGAGAACCGCCTAACACAACGGCTTATTGTCTCATTCACAATAGCCTGAGTATAACCCGTTGACAAACGTCGTACGTAAACTCACGTAAAACAGGAAACCATGGTTTTCCTTTGGTATGCGATATCGATAAAAAACGTATAAAGAAGAAGAGCGGAGCGCAAAGATATCGAGTTTCCTCCGTCTCGCGATAATGTTGAACGTACGATCTTCGTCGATCTGCAAGGTTTTACCATTCGGGAGAAATTTACGGTTAAAGAGATGGCGATATTGAGAAATGGAAAGGAACTGACTCATCGAGTGTTTCAAGAAGCGATACGATCTGGAATCTTCTTACAAAGGCGGAGAAATCTAAAGCGTGCTGGGTAACCGCCAATCATCACGGCCTGCAGTAGAGCGATGGCGACGTCGCCTACAGATTCTCGAAACTCGTGATTCGAAGCGGCGTGTGCGGCCGATCGCGAGACGCACTTAGACGAATGTATGTCAAAAGCTTGGAGAAAAAGAAGTGGTTGGAGGAGATTCTCGGTGACACCATCGCGGACCACGACATAATCGTCGAGACTATCGACGCAGATTTCGAAGATATAGAGCGCTTGAACACCCTGGATGTCCGCGCCTTCCAATGCGAGCGTCACGCGAAGAATTGCGTCATGGAAAACGTGTGCAAGCTGTATGACTGGTGGTCGAAACGACAGAAATGTGTCACCGAATTGTAATATCGCGTTAACGATTTATATCATATTATATTGTCACACTCGCGGCGGGTTTATTCGCGTCACTCTCACGCAAGAAAAAGAGGAGACGGTTAAAAAAGAAATACTTTATTAAGCACTAAGCACAGAAGCGATAACAAGAGCTTTTCACAGTTTAATAATAATTCGCCGTGACACAGCTCGCGCGCCGCGCCGACTCTCTCTCTAAAACAACGCTTGACAACCACTTGACGACCGCGTCGGCAAGGAACGATCTTCAGGCTGGAAATGTGAGAGCAGCGTCGAGCGAAACACTGCTCGGTCGTAACAATATCATATTATATCATATATATCAGATTTTTTAAACTATTAATTATATTATTCGTATCAAAAACTGTAATATCGCGTTAACGATTTATATCACATTATATCATATTATATATCAGATTTTTTAAAACTATTAATTATATTATTCGTATCAAAATAAATAGTATCGAGTTAATATTGAAAAATATAAATACTATATGTAGTAGTAGATATTCTATCGCTCGTATCACTTACATAAATGCGTGGGGAAGTACAAATAAAAACATTTTTTTAAATATCTCTTATTTTATTTCATCTCAATCTTACATCCCAAAGAACAGAGCAACGAGTTCGCAAACGGTAATGTCGTTACGATCAAAAGCATCGCTATCGCGTATGACTTTCGAGACGTTCTCTGTATCCTTAGCGGTGGACGCGATATCCTTGAAACGCGCCCATTTCGCGTCGATCTTTTCTTGGTCAACGAGATAACGAGTCGGTTAACGCAATGCTCGAGTTCGAACATGTTATTCACCGTTTCCTTTGATATGGCCAAGCGAGCCGCGGGCGTTTCTAGGCGTAATATCATCAGGTTGTTGATTCTTCCGAAACGCACGGTCATATTTCCGATATGCGACCGGGCTGGAAAGGAAGGTTCTCCATTAGTACTCTGCAGATACTTCGAGAGAACGTGCCGAGAAGTTCTCTTCTCGGGTGACATCGAGATCTCCTTGCCATGATTATCTCCCAGAATAATGTTCACGCGTGAGGAACGTTCAAGAGTCATGCGAGGAACTTGTATTCCGTTTTAGTCGAGGGATATTTTCGTTCTAGAACTCTGACTGAACTATTCGTACCACCGACGTTGTTATAACTCGACGCGATCGTCCTGTGGAGCGTTCTGTTTCTCTTCCTCGCGTCGTCGCTCTCGTCGACTCAATGCGTCTCGGAACCTTGCAAGTGTTCGATATCGTACATCTTTATGGAGAGATCGGAGAGATCGCGCGATACTGATCATTCGTTTCGCTCGTAACCGTTTCGTATCCTTCGCTCTATACAATATATGAAAAATTCCGTTCCTCCTCCCTCTCCTCCTCTAAATCGTCCTCACTCGAAAATACGTTCCTTATCTGAGCGAATTTTTTTAGAAGAGCGCGCAATTGTTTTAACAGTCCGTCCTTTGGACACATAATACCAAAAATCTCCGCGTCGAATTTACCGGCCATAGTTACACTTCTGGTAAACTCGTTGTACTTGAAAAACTGTCGTTTAACGATAAAGCACAGATTACCGTCGATGTATCGAACGGCAGATGGAAAATATCGTGTGCAGCGAGTTATGTCTGACGAGCAGTCATCGATCTCGTCATTGTAAATCGCGAACGTTCGTTCCGCATTAGTATTAACTACAGCGTTGATGTTAGGAGGAAGATTCATATCCATCACTTTGTTCGGCCAATCCGATACCAGCTCGAAAATCGGATATTTTGCCATGTAAACTGTATCGTCTACGAACAATACGAATTGGCTCGAGAGTCGTCAATACGCGCCCACCAAACGCGTAAAATTATCGGAAAGGAAACGCAGATATTCCGTCGGTAACAACGATCTGCTGTAAGATTTTCCGTCACCCCATAAGAAATGACCCAACGCGAGCTGAAAAAAATATACAATAGAAAAATTCGCATATTATTACATTTACTATATACTATGTGTATACTATGTGTAATATACTTACAAAATTATCTTCCTCTAAAAATTGATAGCTTACTGATTCATATACCCAAACAAGAGTGGAGGAATTGGAAAATCATGTTTGACGGATCACTGTAAAAGATATAAAATATCGTATCAAAAATATAAAAAATAATAATATTATCTAAAGATTATATATATATATATATATATATATATATATATATATATATATATATATATATATATATACTCACTTGCAATTTATTATTCTTAAGCGATAGATAAAAGATGTTTTAATAATGACATCTTGCACAGGCGCCTATCTGCTATGGTTATCCACTAAAAACAATATTAAATTATTAAAAAATTTTTTTACATTTAATCGTTTAATGCATTGGCTCCGCGGCGTCGATTCTAGGGCTTGACTTAAAATCGGATCGACACTGTCAATTGAGTAGTTTATTAAAATGATCTCTAAGCACACCAAAATTGATTCCATAGCCAATGTGTTAAATAAAAAGTAATTCGATACCTACTCCGTTCAACGGGTACTCCATCGTAAATACTTTGACTTCCCATTATCAATAATAATCATTATCAATAGTGTTTAGCACATCACACGAGTATTTGTCGTTCATTGTGTACGTCGTCGCGTTTATCGTGTTTAAAGAGATACTGACGAGTATTTTTTTCCTAAAACGCGTTAATATGAGAGACGCATAAATGATAACAAACGCTCTTATCGCGCGAATTAGATGCGGTTAGAAAAAACGCGCGATCCCCGAGAAAAGAATTTTTTCCTCATTTTTTCGTATTCGATGATAGATCATCGAATACGAGAAACGTACACGATAGCGAGATTGCTCTCATCGAACGATCCCGAAAAGATAAGATCTCTCGTCGCGTGATTAAAAAATCAATGAACGACGATCTCATACCATTAAGAGAGAAAATAATAGAAGAAAGCGATAGAATAGAACAAATAAACGATAAACGAAATAAACAATAAAATAAACGAATCTCCTATCGCCATTGCGATCAAAGATTCCGGTAGCCACTCATATAAAATTATCTGAATATCCTTTTTTCTTTGTTCGTAAATTATTTGAACATCCTTTTTTCCTCATGAAGCGTCACTTTTTACCTCTTTCCTCTTTTACATTCCTAATAAAAATGACCTCTTGTTATTAACGCTCCTAGAACGATTTTTTTTCTCGCGCGACAGGAGTCTTTCAGAATAGGAATCTCTCGTCTCTCATACATTTCCGTCGCCCTCGGTATCGCTAATTGAAAACTTCCGGCAAATCGCTGACCCGCCTCTCGTTTCTAAGATATGTAAACAAACGAGAAAGGAAAAGGGAACTCCGTCTCTCGCGGTTAGTTAATCGCTGTAATAACGATGCGTATTAATGGCGATTCACATTTTTTATTTTAGCATATCGTACATATATTCATTTTTATTACTCAATATATACTTGTACGTATTCTTCATATACTTATGCATATACTTATACGTATATTTATACATATATTTACATTCATGTTCTTATACTTATACATATATTAATATATTATTCTTATACATATATTTATATATTCTTATACATAGTTATATACTTGCGCAAATTCGCACACTCTTCTACAATCGATCTCTCGCGACAATTCGCACAAGCCTTTTTTTATCGCATCATAACAATACATCCCTACTCGCTGTCGCACTTGACGTTTCTCGCTTCCCCGCGCATTCTCCTCAGATCGTCGGCGGCCTGATCTATCAATTGTCGCACTAACTCCTTTTCCGATCCGACGCGGAGTTCAAAAATTGAACTCTCAATTTCGCCTTCTGTTTCCACCAGTTGCGCTTTTTCTTTTTATTATCCTTGACGTTGTACGTATAATCGAACCAACTCGCAATCGGTCCCTTTCTCGCGCGGAGATCTCGCCTCGAGCTGTCGCCCACCCTTCAACTTCGTCATGTACTGAATGAATCGGTCAGTTTCCTCCTTGTCTCCCGACAAAGACGCGAACAACGCGTCTAAACCGCTGCCACAAATCTCGTCGTCGAGGTTCCTCCTCGCTGCATTCAGATGTGCTAGATACTTCCCGTACTCGTCGTCGAGTGACGATACGTATAGCGTTCCTCATACGCTCGGCCTCGCGTATATGCGCGATCGACTCCGTCCTCGACGAAGCGCCAGATGTACTAGACCAGAAACGCCATCCATCAGCCGCAAATTACACACCGTCAAATGCGTAAACGTCCACATCGCTCGTATCAACTCGAACGAGTTGATTGCGTCGCTATCGGCTTCCACCGGCTACCCCATCCTCCTCTTCCCCGTCGATCGTCGATCATCTCTCCCGTTCCATCGTCATCGTGCGTTTCTCCTGTTCCACCACCTCGTGTTCCATCTCGAGAACTTGAACGGTTCGTCTAAGAGCGTTATTATCTTCGGATCCTTCAATTGATTCTCTGGAACTTTAGACTGATTCTCAATCTCGCAAACTAACGATACGTCATCGATACTCTTAGTCAAATATATGTACTCTAAGGCAGTGTCGAAGGCGCGCCAAACCGCGGCATCCTCCCGACGAAAAGATGGCGTCGTCTCGAGACGCGCAAAGCTCTGTAGAAAACGCCGTCTAACCGCGACATTCTAAAAAACAGGATGCGCAGCATCCTTTCATCTCGGGATGCGCAAAGCTCCGTAGACACGCACGGACGCGCGCTTAACCGCGGCATCCTAACAAAACAGGACGCGCGACATCCTTTCGTCGGATCCCGCGGATGAAAGAAACCATCCCCTAAAAGCAATACCGGGGAAAAAATTACCCCGACCACCAGGCCTACGACCGCCAGGAGGAAACCACCTCCGATTACCAGGCCTCCGACCGCTAAAAGGGAAATCATCCCTACCGACCAAGGAGAAAAAAATTACTCCGGCGACCACCAAGGGGATCCACCTCTTCCCCTCGGGATCCTATAACCCCCCTCCCCTTCACCCTCTTCTCCCCTCCTGGGAGTATGGTGTCACCCTTGTTCGCCTACTAGTTGAGTATAAAATCTTATAAGAAAAGTGTTTTTAATTTTTTTTCGTGTTCTACAAACGGAGATATTGCGACGCAAAGTTCAAATTAGTAAATTTTACGTCTTGGTCGTCGCCGTGATTTTCTTTTTTTTGTTACAAGAAGTGCTAGTGAATGCCTCGTATGAGAGCTTTCTCAGCACTCATTTTTTTTATATGTCTTTGATAGACTTTCCTGTCGTTTATCGCTTTCGCCACGTTGGCCGCTCCGCCGATTAAGGACCCGAGAGCGCCCAAAATTGGCAAAATCGGTAACACACCACCTCGTTTCGCCGTTGGAAGTATTCGTTTCTTTTTTTTGTCGATTTTTTTCTTCACCTTCATACCCATGCCGATCTTGGTCTTGGCTTTCATCGCTGCCCAAACGGCTGCAGCTGCAGCTTTCTCGCTCAGAGCCGAATCTCTCGCGATGACGCGTCCTAAGGCTTTATCGGCGAGTACCTTGTCCGCCGCGTGTCTGTCGGTGAGATCGTTGCTCTGAGAATACGCAATGTCGTGTTCACGGCACGCCGCGTCCAGTGGATTTATGCCCGTTTCACCTCTGGCT